TGTATGAAAAGAATGCTCAGAATTATTGCTTTTCAGTATTTAAGAAACACTTTCGGTTCAAAATGTAAATACAATTCACCCGGAAGAAAGAACCCTGCTACCAGTGAAATTCACAAAGTATAACAAAATGCTTTAGAAGTACTTAATTGAACACACTGTTTCGATCATGGGAATGCAAGTTCAAATGCTTGAGTTAATTCACAAATGACTGAGGTAGCATCAATTGGCAGTCAATGTCTTAAACATTATGTACCAAATACAACAGTAACATGGAGCTGCTCAGAAAATATGCATATTGTAATATAATTTAAGTAAATGTTATTGGCATGTATAAAATGTTCATTCTCATATATTTCAAAGGATCTTTAAGATTCTGTTGATTTTCTGCACTTATTTGACAGCAGGAAACTTTTAAAAACATATATATGCTTCAGATTTATACAACCACCTACTAACTCCAAGACAATTACACTGCTAATATCAAGATACCAACATAGTTTATGAGTTGAATTTGAAGAAACACAAATACCAGTAATTACAACATTGCATTCTTGTTGGCTAGTCAATGTGTTGATCAGCACTGGACAGTAAATATTGAAGAAAAGCAAAACAATACAAAAAGACTGACACAAAATTATTAAAAAAAAAAAAAATTATTAAAAAGACAACCTTGTAAGCTAATAACTTTTCACTCCGCACCTTATCATCACAAATTACCAGGTAACCAGACTTTGTTTGCTCTTCATTTTTTTGTAGGTTTATAGTAGAGCTCAAATAAAAATTGGTACGTAAACCAATATACGTGATTCTAGAACACTGATTTCTGAATTGTTAGGTTTTTGGGGCTTTGTGGTGGTAATTGTACTTTGACACTGAAGTCATATTCCTTGTTGAAATAACGACTTATCAGTTTTCTCTTCCAGTGTTTTTTTTTCTGTGACTTTATGGTAAAATTTACAAAAAAATAAAAACCATATATCAAAATGATATTCATGTTTCTTCATAAACATATATGGGTGCCCTCAATTCACAAAATAGACATAATATATCTTCAAAAATATTTAGTGAATATAACAGCATATTGGAATAAAGATTACACACTTGATACAAAATCTTCACACATAAATTCTACATCTTATAACAAAAAATAAATTCTACACCACCACATTTAAGTATAAATGCATGCAATTAAAGAAATACATAATTCCAACCACAAACTTGTTAAACAATAACCATCAGCCATTATTTCATGAATTCATATATACAAATTTGTGCAGTTGAAGCAGTGCATGGCAAAAGTGCAAAAAATTGAATAAACTCTTTAAATCAGCCATTCTCAGCTCAGATCAAATGAAATAAAAAATAAACAAAATATCAGAAGCTTTGACCCTATTATAAAAAAAAAATTAATCAACTGAATAAAAAAAATTGCATTTTTAGAAAGTATGTTCAATCAAAATCTGCTTCACGATAAAAGATTAAAGATTTCTTCTTCAGAGCCAGAAAAGAATTAACTTTTTGTAAAATGAGTAAACACTCTTCTGGCTCTAAGCAAACAATATTTTCTTTATTCAAGTTTTTAAATCAAATTGAAACTAGATGGAATTTTGACTGCGCGCAGTCGAAAATGATGCCTCCGCAATAGAGCAATTTAAACAAGTTTGGAGTTTAAATCTCCAGTGGTTCGTGAGATATCATGATAACAATCTCAATGTATGGAATTTCATAAGTTGACCTCTGTGACCCTTGACCTTTGACCTACGTGCTCCAAAATCTAATCAGATTGTCTTCCTATGGTGATACACACTATCATTAAGTTTGAAGTTTAAATCTCTAGTGGTTCTTGAGATATTATGATAACAATCTCAATGTATGGAATTTCATAAGTTGACCTCTGTGACCCTTGACCTTTGACATACGTGCTCCAAAATCTAATCAGATTGTTTTCCTATAGTGATACATACTATCACTAAGTTTGAAGTTTAAATCTCCAGTGGTTCTTGAGATATCATGATAACAATCTCAATGTATGGAATTTCATAAGTTGACCTCTGTGACCCTTGACCTTTGACATACGTGCTCCAAAATCTAATCAGATCGTCTTCCTATGGTGATACATACTATCCTTAAGTTTGAAGTTTAAATCTCAAATGGTTCTTGAGATATCGCGCTAACAAACTCAATACAAGGAATTTCATAAGTTGACCTCTGTGACCTGTGACCTTTGACCTACGTACTCCAAAATCTAATCAGATCGTCTTCCTATGGTGATAAATACTATTCCTGAGTCTTAAGTTTAAATCTTAAATGGTTCTTGAGATATTGTGATAACGGTCAAACGGGACGGACGGACGGACGTACGGACGGACGGACGTACGGACGGACGTACGGACGTACGGACGTACGGACGGACAACCCGAAAACATGATGCCTCCGGCACCACCTTCGGTGGCGGAGGCATAAAAAGAAAGAGCATATATTTTAATCAATATTGCCGCCTAATTTGTTGTGTACCTTGCAGAGGCGAGCAAGTCAATAGAGATAGTTTGGTGTATTTTCAATTTTTCTGCTTATTGCAATTCTGACAGGCACACAACAAATGATCAGTATTGCAATGCAAACACATTTTACATGTCAAGTTAACACCAATTGCTACAAGTAATCTCTGCGAAATTCAAAAAATTGCCATCAGAGTTGAGAACATGATATTAGAGAATCATATATTCAGGCCTTTCCAGAGTTTCACTTCATTTGTTTGCGTAGACATGACTGGGATTGGAACCCTAAACTGGCTGATCCAAAGTACAATAGTACTGATAACTATCAGAAAGACAAATGTGTATAAAAATACGAAAGGCACTTTTCTATTCTTTACTAATGCACTAAGTACAATTACAAAATGGCATATATCACAGTTTGGTTGCGAATAATTTTACAAGATCTAGGAGTGAGAAGAGACCCACAGCTATGTTACATACACCAACACAGGAAAATAGGTAAGATGATAATCATGGTTTGAAATCTTTATATACCACTCAAATAATCTCCCGGTGCCACATTGTATTTATCACGGGATACATATAACCAAGGCTTCAAATTTATACCTGGTAACCTTTTCCAGTGCAAGATTAATCTATCAAAGAGTTAAAAAAGTTGTCACAGAGCTATAAATCAATACCAAGAATGGTCTTTTTATACAGGTGGTCTCTAAAGCAGGTTTGACTGTAAATAAATCATCTCTAATGAGTTACACTTTTACATGATCTGATCATCACAAGAAAAAGATAAATATTGTGGTAAACTTTGTGCGTCAACTTGTAATCAGAACCTACCCTTGCACTTTTAGTGTTTTTTTTTTATACAATCAACCAATCTAGGCAGATTGTCGGTAGAGTCTTAAACTTATTGATCTTAGAAAATGGGGGAAAAAGTGTTTTAAATCGCTGAGTTGTATCACCTTTTCCCTCATGTACCAAAATCTCACTCATCTACCAAAATCTAATCTGCACTAAATGATACTAAGCTGAGTTTATGAATCATACATTAGAAAAATGATGAGTCTCTCTTAATTCTCTCTACCAGAGTTAATAAAAAATATATATATTTTAAAAAAAATCCATGGGCAAGAATTGTAATTACCTGCCCCAAGACATGATTACATCTGTCTTGCTGATCTGAGCTCTGTTTCATGAAACTTGATATAAATAACAAATGCTCAAGTTCTATGTTAAATCTGCTTTCAGTCAATCAAATGCTACGATTTCAGTAGCTTATAAAAAATTATTGGAAGCTGTTAATGATAACAAGTTTTATGAAACAGGTCCCAGATCACGATCAATTCACAATGTAGAATGATTTCTCAGATATTCAGATCAATTCTTCAGATCAATTTATCACATATTTTTGAAAAAAATACCCTGTGGCTGAAGCAAAAACGTGTATTCTTTGGCGTCTCAGAACCAAACGTTCTCTTGTTAGCATTTGCCGAGTCAATTTCATGATTCCTTAAATTCATGTTTGTGGCCTTTATATACAGGTTTTACAGTAATCAATGTTTGGTTTAAAGCTAAACCCTGTCAATGTTGGCACATCTATTTTCAGGACTCTTCCCTGGATTGACCATTCGTTTATCCCATGGACAGAGAAATGACTACATAGTATACTAATGATGCATGCAGATGAGTTCATTACACCATCAATCTGCACCCCAGTTAAGACTGTATGCATTTATCCTATGCAGCCATTAGGCTTTGTACAAGGTGCATAAACAACCTCAACAAGAGCAGATGTATCCTGTAATGAACAAATAAAAACATACATCATTAGTTTTATATATATATATATATATATATAACAAAATCCCTCAAATCTTGTTATTTGATGTAAAATTAATTAATTTGAGATTGTTTTTTCATCACTGACAAATAAACCCCAAGTTTAATAAGCTAATATTAGTATGCACACTTACATGCATAAATGCACACAAACATCTACACACACTTCTACAATCGTTGGATAGTACTGGAAGCTATTGCACGCTTTTCATGAAAAACCGTGTCATAGTCTCAGTAAATGAATCACACATGACTGCATTTGACCAATCATTTGATTAGGATCTAGGAGTGAGTTGTATAATTGCAAAAAATATGAATTGAAATTTATCACTTTCATCTCTCTATTTATTAGTGGCCTTTATATAGAGGTTTGTCTGGTAATCCCTGTCTGTTTTGCATAGTGAAAATATCGACCCTGTTAGTATTCAAGTATTTTGTATCAAGTACAATTTTTATTGGTCCTTTAAAAAGAAATTAGTGGCATAAATATTTCATTTCTCCTTCAGTTCTGACTTGCTGTCTTTTCTAAAGTGAAAGTATTGCCACTATCAACAATGGTACATTTGCAACACATGATATTTCATTGGTTCCTTTCCTTTTCTTCTCTAAACTTAACCCACTGACTGTTGAATTGTCTCATTCATGGGTGTCGATCCGTAACTGATACCTATTCATCAGGGGGGGGGGGATGATCTATTCATTCATCCCCCCCTGATGAATAGGTATTACGTAAGTATCGACACCCATGGTCTCATTCGCTGCATACAGAAACAATCCACTTCACGTAGGCAATGGTTTAATAATCAAATATCTCTTGCACAGATGAATGACTGCATAGTGAAAAATATAGATTACAATGTAACTGATACCTCAGTCACACGACTGAGACCTACACCAGACCAACTACAAACCAGCACATAATTAATCTACCCTAATGGATAAATTGATCAGTTGGTTTGCAGTCGCTTTGGCAGTGTGGCTGAGGTATTTACGTCAGTCATACCATCGAGACTGACACCAGACCAACATAAAAGGTCATATTGCCTGGAATTGCCAAAAGTGGACGGCTTGGAATCAGTTTGGCAGTGCGACTGAGTTATGAGTGATAAACTCTCTATTCTCCTTTCCGTTTACGTAAAAAGGCATTGTAATAGAAAGTCGAGAACAAATACAGCATACTAGCACCATAAAACATGGAATACACACAGAAACCATGATGGAAGTAGCCTATAGTATTGTGCACCAAACCGATCAGGAACTGCGTGATCTGAAGCTCGGTGATGTGGCGCTTCCAGGTCGGGGCACCGCTTAGCGGCTTCTGGGCGGTGTAGCCATAGTAGTAGTAGAGACAGACGTGGACGAAGGAATTGATGGAGAGACCGAAAGCGATGCCAGCCCAGGGTGAGTAGTGGAAGGCAAAGTCGGTGAGGAGGACCATACTGGCGTGGTGGTAGACGTGGAGGAAGGAGATCTGACGACGCTTGTGACGCAGGATCATGAAGAGGGTGTCCAGGAGCTCCAGGTTCTTGGTGCACCAGTACAGAAAGAAGCTGAAAGTGACAGACAATATGATTATACGTTATTCAAATGATGCTCTATTTTTTACACTTTAACCCTAGTCTTACAGCCTGTCTGCACTAGTTTTGCCAGAGGGATTAGACCTCCCTGCAAGATCACTGACAGGTGGTTATCTCATCAAATCAGCTCTCAATTAACATAAGAAAAAGGGCATCATGGGGGATCAACAGACACCGATTAGCCATTGTTTGCTTTAATACTACATATATACCTCATCCTAGCCAGGAAGCTTTATACCTAGCAAACTAAAACCAAATCACATCCATAACCCTACACTGTCACTAAAAAAGCGTAGGAAGTTAGAAACAAGACAATTGATATGGTATGGACAAGAGACATCAGCCTGCCCCTCCTTCCCCTGTGCCTGTACAATACGTACAGAACGCTTTTGTTCTATAGGATTGTGCAGTTGATCACACATTTCTAAATCCATGTTATGCTTGAATCACTTTACATCAGGGGGGTGTTTCACAAAGCCTTTTTTCAATGAAAATTTACCAAAATTAGTGACAAATCTGCATATAACCAATCAGAAGCAAGGATTTCAATAGCTTATAACAGAAACTTTCATTTGCCACTGATGACAAGTTTTGTGAAATGGGGCATAGGAAATGAAAATTCCCCCTTTTTGTGACAAAAGTAAGCTATGCTTAAATCAATTTACATTAGAAAAATAAAGAAAATTACCTGTTTTTAAGAAGATCATTGCCCTCTTTCAGAAAGATGGATCCTGATGTGACCATTCCAGCGATGAAACCCAACAGAGTACACCCACTGATAAAGCTACAGGTATAGTTATACACCACCATGATCTGAGAAACAATAGAGATAAGTGACAAATCTTATTAACAGTTTCAGAACTTCCTTAATTAATAATTATATTTGCTTATATAGCGCCTAACACTTACATGTACTTTATCAGAAGTCTCTAAGCGCTCTACAATAATGCAGCATAATTACCCTGGCTTTAGCAGTGCAGCTGTTACGCGCGCTGCGTTTCAAGGAATAAATTCCTACCAGGTACCCATCCGCTTCACCTGGGTGGAGTGTGGCAAATGTAGATCAATGTCTTGCCAAAGGATATTAGTGCCGTGGTGGGACTCGAACCGCGGACCTTGTGATCGACTTAATTGAAGAGAAAGCATTCCTAGCTTTGGCCAGTCATGATCAATGTTTAAAAGCCTTGGTGGATGAGAAAATGTAGGCTCTAAACGGCATTCTTGGACTACAAATTGCTGATTAGATCATTTAAATAAGGAGTTTGAACTTACCTGTCTCAGAGAGTAAGGTTTGGTCATTCTTTGGTAGAGTGGTGAGAGACCTATGAGTATCAGGTATACCACCATGACAGGGAATGACTGGAGACCAGTGAAGGTCCCTAGGACATGGTAGAAGCGTTCACTGAGCACCGCCATCTTTGAGTTTGAACAGCCTTCTCCTGTTTGAAAAATGGAATAAGTGCACAGTAGTATATTAATGTCCAATTTAAAGGGAAATCCAACTAGACAAAATCAGAGAAGGAGACTTGTGAAAATTTGAATGAAATCAGACAAAAAATGAAAAACTGATTAAATTTTGAAAGTTTTAATCACTATTGTTAAGGGCTCTTCAGATTGGTTGAATCAGTAATGTATCTGCAACTTTCCCATTACTAGTTCCAACACGAAAAATGACTAAAATGTCAATTAAAAGAAAATATATAATTGATAAAATATGATTATGAATTATGATATTTTCACTGAGTTTTGTTATAAATGATTTTTTATTAATTTGTAATAAAATAGGTTCTAAATATTTTAACATGTGTCTTTCATCCTTTGTCTTCACATCTCTTTTATTTCACCCCCCCCCCCCTCTCTCTCGTCCTTCTTCAATTCAACTTCAAGTTTTAGTTTTATTGCATGCATCTTACTTTTTCAAAGAAACATTTTTTCAGCTCTGATTTGCATGGAATGGAGCTAGAGGTGAGTCAACAGGTATACCACAGATCTCCAAAATTAAACAAGTCAATTAGGCCCAAGTGCTTTATAAGTAGTCTACAATAAATTGAATAACGAGAGTTCCTCCTAATACATACGATACCGTACATGAAAAGACATGATGCCGGACTGTAACAAATTCTACCCAACATAATTCTTTCAATTTAGCACAAATTATCCTTATTTTAATGACTTATAAAAGTAAGGGATGTAATCTTGACATCTGAATAATAACAAGCGATCCGACATGTGGTTCATACTTACCGGTTTCAGCTAAATTGTAAGGACTAAGGCACTGTTTTGTGATCAAATAAAATAAAGCTGTGCAAAGCGTATTTCACACACAGTCTAATTGTGCAGACCTCTATGTTTATATGAATGTTTTTATTATCATTACTAGCAGGATTCTCACAAATTAAAAGCTTTAAAATCTTTGATTATTTTTCGTTATTATTATACATTCATGTTTAAATTCTATTTGAAAACACGGGTACAAAATGACTAAAAACCTATCAAAGTTTTCCAAAGAGTTTGTACAATACAGACTAATAATTCTGCTACCCTCGACAACAATCGGATCATGACATGACATGGGAAGATGTGCGAGCAATAGGGAGGTGGGCGTGGCAGTATAATGTGGGCGTGGGTTGGAGGTACTCGACAGGGGATTTTTTGATGGAGTAATAGCATAATGCCCATTCGATTTCTCGATGGAAAGGATAATATAAAAGATATCTAAGAGTAGACCTAATGTATTTTTTTCATTATAAAACTTCATTCACATGGTACATGAATATTTTGTTTACAATACATAGTCTAGACATAATAATTATTACAAATATGGGAATAAATCATTTGAAAGATACATGGAATTTGAAAACAAATTTATAATTGCATAAGTATGTATATATGCATCAGTATATACATAAACTCAGTATAAACAGTATGCCTAACAAAAACGGTCGTTTTGGATAATTAGCATTGCCCGTTAGGGTATCATGAAAGACACAAGCGTAGTTCCATTGAATACATGCCCTTCGAGAATAGGCTGACCCACAAAGTGTCCGTCAGGACCGTGCCCCCCCCCAACCCCCCCCCCCACCCATAACCTAGTCTTGCAGGGCAGGTGATTTCCTGTCATGGCTGGGGTGGAATTAATGCTGCATTCGAGAGAACGTAGGGGAGAGAAGAGACCGTATAACTATAAGTTTACCCCATAAGAAAAACTGTGCATTTTACAGAAAGAAATCTATCAAATTAAAATAAAATGGCATTGCCACATGTTTAAAACATTACAGCACTGCCTAGAGATAAATATTGAAACGTTGTTATGGTGTGTCACAAGAAGGATATGATGATTTTTGATGATTTTTTTGTTGTTGAGTTCAGAGTTATATGGCAATCAGTCAAATTTCATTTTTATCACCAAATCATATTTCTAGTATAATACTAGCTTTCATAATAAAAAATCAATTCATCTCTCTCTTTTATCATTTGTTGTGGTTGGTGTCCTTGTATTTTTATCAGGGTTTTTAGTCATAATATAATTAACTATTTTTTATTATTAAGTATTTTGTTAAAAGTATAAACTATAATTATAACAAATTAATTCACGCCTCTCTTTTAACTTATATCTATTTTTTTTGTGTCTCTGTATTTTTGTCAATCGTCATGGTTTTTATCAACATTATTATAATAACGATATCATGACAGTTTACCAAATCTTGTCTTTTCTTATTTGGTGCCATCCTGACAAACCCACTCGTATGATATGAGGGTTTATTGGATTTTTAATTTTTTTTTATGGGGAAGGGCTTTAATAGCAGGATGCAAACAACTTTTGGAAAGTTTATAGATTTCACGTTTGATGATGGTTCAAATTAATGTTATGACAAAAAAGGGTTATCACATAAGTATTTTAATGAGTATTTGATAGTCTTATATTTGTATCGGGGGGGGGGGGGGGGGAATTAGGGGCCACATTTTCGTCGAGTGTAACGTTTCCCCTACCTTCGACCACCTCCCCCCCCCCCCTCCTCCTCCGATTAATGCGCTATTTATTTAGCGCCCTCCGCGGTTATTTGGTCGCAGTTGTTTTGTGCTACGTGTTCCACAATTCATCTTCCTTTGACTCGCTAAAATCACCACATTTTCCCTCAAAATGAGCTTTTTCAGCCGTGTTTTGGGAGGAAATACTCCAGAAAATCAACAATCAGGAGCAGATACGGTACGAAAATATAATTAAATCATTTTAAGGTGTCATAATGTATTTTTCTAGAACATAAAACATACCCATATTTTATACTGATACTGTATTGTAAATTATTTTTCAGTCCCATGTGCTGTGATTTATGTCTGTGTTAAACTATTTGTTTAATGCACAACTTCTTCTTCGGCACAACGGCTTGCTTCAAACGCCCGGCCCTGTGTACAGAGTTTAACAGTTCCACCTTGCAGCTGCACTGCATGCGTAAAATACATATATGCATAATAGATGAGCAATGATTTGTAAACGTTGTGTTTTAGCTGTGTCATTGATGATTGATTGAGTGAAGTTCATGTTTTTTTATCATTTAAAATTATGTGTTTGTATTGTATTACAAGGATGTAGAGTAAAGGAGCCGGTAATCGGCCAGCTCCAGTTTTCGGCCGATTGGTTGGATGCAAGGTAAAATCACTCTAAAATACATCGCATAATAGCATAACACATATCCCACTCATACCATACCATGCCAGTGTCACTGAAGAACCACATTTATAATGAAAAATATATCCTAAAATATCACATTTTAGCGATGTAATCGGTGGTCCCGCTACCCGAATCTGAAAAATCGAGTATCTTACGCGTGTATGTATGAAATATGGGTACCATAAAATCAGCTTTATTTCAAGTATTTTTCAGATTTAGTCGCAAGCTCAAAAGTATCTCATCGCATGTATTAAATCAATGCAGCCGGACCCTGCCACGCACACACGATATGTCTGTCTAATTCAGATTCCAACTTCCGATCACCGCTGTGCCTGTCTTCGGCCAGGCGAGCACCAGGGAGCTCCGGCGTGGGATACCTGCTCCGCCCGCTTGTGCTGTACATCAGCGCGGAAACGCACGGCACGCGCGAGCGCTTCCTATTGACTTTGTACATGCGGCCGTAAACTGAAACGCTCGGCCGATAACAGGCTCCAAAACAGTGAAAATTGAAATGAATTTTGTCATGGCAATTCGTGATTTTTTTCTGGGATTCTTTTTTTGTTTAAATAACAATAATATTTGCTTCATGATTTGAACAAAAAATGATAATAAATAGGAAGTAAAGGGTCCTAAAAATAGGATTTTGTCTTAAGTGGCCGAAAACGGGCTCCTTTACTCTATGTAAACAGTGCAGTAAGGGCGCTGGACCAACAATAAGAATCGTCCGCATAGACAAAGATCTCCTTCTTTCATTTTTGGTCTTAATAAACACGGACAGAAGCGTCTGCAAAAGTAAGGATCGTCTGATTCTTATTTGCGATCAGAGCATGGTGATGCGAAAAACATATTCCGCAATGATTTTCTTGATTGATTTCACATTGAATTTGTACAGAGACTTTCACAGTATGAGCGATATATCCTGGGGAAGACGGACAGCCCATAAAAGTAGACGATGAACTTGGGGTATTTTATTATGTTTTTGGCATTGCCAGCGCACGGATCGGGGAATCCCAAACCCGCAGAGCGCCGAAGAAAAAAAAAAGTCTGCGAATATGGATGATCCTTATTTTTGGACGCGATTTGTCTACGTTTACGAGGATATCCTTGTTTATGCAGATGATCCTCATTCTCAGACCAGCGCCCCTACTGGTAAACAATAAACATGTTCATATATTTCATCATTTGATACTCTAACAACATTAACAAGAAGAAAGCTGGAGATGATAAGGAAGAAAAATACCAGAAAATACTAAATTACTAAATCATTAAGTAATTTTATTGGATGTATAATCCCTTTTATTTGACAGATTGCCAAGATATGTGACCGGGTGCAGTCATCTACTCTCCTGGATGACAGACGAGATGCAGTCCGTGCTCTCAAGGCCCTCTCAAAGGTAAAACAACATGAATCTATCCATTACCACATAATCATTTAACCCATTGACTATTACATTTTCTTGTTCTCCCAGACTTTATACCAGGGGAGTGTTTCACAAATACTAAGATCGACTTTAAGTTGAACTTAACTAGGGCAGGCCTTTCATGCCACTAGTCCCTCTAACCATTCCTGGCATTGGTTTCTCAAGGGATGTACAAATCGTGGTCACAAATCTACAGAATTTAACTTTTTTGATGTTCATTATTGAAGGAAAAAATATTATCTAAAGATCATAATTGAGAAACCAATGGTGAGAGCAACCAGTGGCATGAACAGCCTGCCATAGTTAAGTCCAACTTAAAGTTAATCTTAGTATTTGTGAAACACTTCCCTGAACTTCTCAGATCATGTAGGCATTGTGTTTTACACTTTATCACATCCCTTTCCTGTAGCCCTTTTGTTCAGTAGCACTACTAATTGAACAAGTAGTTGACTGCTACTGTTGTCTCTCGTCAGATGTACAGAGTATACATGTATGTATGATTTACTCCGAAAAATTTGGCAGACTAGGATTTCCATCTGCAGCAAATAGTGATTTGATAACCTTTTCAATGCTAATCATACTGATGTATAGTCTATATTGTACCGTACATGTTTATTTTGAAAAGCTAATTACAGTAGTCAGTTGAGCTTCATTATTTCCGTCTTAGCTGCAAGCTGTTTCTTAGCGGACCTCATGAAAAACATTCATGAAAAATAAAAGAAATGTTAAAAAGATAAAATTGGTATATGAAAGTTGTCTCTTATTTCAATACTGGTGTAGGGCATTCTCAATTTGTATGTGTTTCATAATCTTTTTATTTGGACATGCAGATGCTCTGTTATGTTTGAAGTTGTAATTGATCTGTAAATCTTTGCTTATTGTACCAGTGATACTTCAAACCGCTGAATTCTAAGCCCAAGATAACTCAGGTTGGAAAATTATCATTTTGAATGAAATAAAAGACTGATTTAGATATGAACATGTATGTCAAGGAAGAAGAATGTAATAATTTCTCTAGTACATCATTTGATTATTGATAGATATGCTTGTACCAAAAATACTGATTTTGCTCCTTATGTCCATAACTTTGCAGAAATATCGGCTTGAGGTGGGTACCCAGGCCATGGATATTTTGGTGAATGTACTGGAAACAGACCGCAGTGATGCAGAGATAACTGGCTATGCTCTGGATACACTCTTCAATCTCCTGTCTGCCTATATAGAAGAGGATGAACAAAGTAAGACAAAAATGCTGTGAATTATGACACTGGAATAGGGGTCACTCGGCATGTGGTAAAATTTAGAATTGGCAAAAAGTAGAGGCCAAGTTAACAAGGATTGCTTAAATTTACCACAGATTCTTGCATGAATTTTGTATTAAAAATATGTTTTATACACCAATTTCCAAATGTATATGATAGGAAAGATTAAAATAGTTATGAAATAAGTACTGGTACAAAAATTGTAATTGGAAAAAACATGAAATTTTGGGCTGCTTCAAGGCTTGGTGCATGGCTAGCACTTAAACTCTTGAAACCTAATCACCCCCCCCCCCCCGATGTAAACTTAATCCAAGTGCAAAGTTATCCTTACTCCATGACTTCACCACCACTTCATATTGAATCTAATCACCAAACATAAATTTGGATATTAGTGAAATATTGATAAATCCATTTCTTGAGTATTGTAAAAAGTATTATTTTTTAAAACCCTGATAGTCAGGCTTCTTGGCAGGAATTTGTTGTTCTATCCTTGATCCAAACTGAATGAAATATGGGCTTTGTAGCATCTGAAGGGGTAATTTGAGAGGACTAAAGCAATATAGCAGGTCGAGAGTTTGCATTGACATAATTATTACCCTTGTTCCTACTCTTGTTAATGGAAATGATAGAGGAGGTCATATTTGAGGTACAATAATATAAAACTGCAGTTGTGCTGTCTTGAATTTTGTGAAATAAATTCTTTTTGAAGCTTTTAATGACGATGAAATGGTGTTTGATAATGACCGATGAGTGATGGTTAATCAATGGAATGTTAACTAACTAACAATAATAAATGGTTGGTAATACTGTAATAACTGTTGTTTATTATGAGTAAATGCTTGTTAACTATTTTGTATTACCAGATGAAGATCTCCCCAATGGGGATGTGAGGGACCCCGAGGAACTGAAGCTATGTGTACAGTTTGCTGAAATATTCATCAAGAACCCGAATAATATTCCTCTTGTCCTTGGCTTGCTAGAGGTATGTTTATACTGTAACTTTCACACAAATTCTTGTATATCCCTTGTGCATTGGTCACGCTCCTCACCCCCATCTTTATTGTCTTTTTATTCTCTTTTCCTTCTTTAAATTCTCTGTCTTCTGTGCTTATGTTTCCATCTTGTAAGAGGTCTAATTCTTTTCTTAACTGCTGTGCAATTTATGTTTTCTTGATCTGTCTATGAATTATCCTTTATCCCAAGTCCCTTTCTTGCCAGGAGTCAAGTTTCTCTTTTTATAATTAGGGACTGAAAATAAAAGGAATATGATTGTTATGTTTATTGGCAGTTATTGAATGGAATTTTGGTTGTAAAAAAGTGCTTTAATGCCAAGAGAAGGAGATGTTGTCCAATGATGTTGTCCAATTTGTTTACAAAGGAAAGAGAAAAACTTGCATAATGACATAATTAATGATGGAACATCTTCTGTACTATTATCATACAAACTGAAGGTTGTTTAATGGTATTCATCCATGTCCGGAGAACTTGTATTCAAACCTTATGACCTATTATGTGCATGCGAGAGAAATATAATGTGTTCAATAATCGTATGGTTTTAAAGTGGTCATCCGAAAAAAAATCAAAACTGATAATTATGGACAAATTAAGTTTGGATGGAAAGATTTTCTCTTGAAAAACATGAATAATTTGCTAAAAAATCATATAGATATAGAAAGGAGTGAAATACAATTTGATGGCTAACTTTGTCTCGCATGTGCATCACGAATCTTGATGCTCTACGGAGGACTGCGGAAGGTAGAATATCTGGATCTCAAAATTAATGATGACTACTGCGGGCCCCAAACATAGTTTGAACTGAGAGGGAAGTTGTTATATTTGATCAATAAGGCTTCCCCTTCACAATGATATGAATTTTGCATCAATCAAAACTTTTTTGATTCTTTGGGTGACTACTTTTAAGAAAACTACTGTAATAGTCATTGTTCTGTTAAAATGATTCATCCTTCTTTATTTGCAGGACTATGAATTCCGAGTGAGATGGCCGGCCATTAAACTCTTAACCACCCTGCTCTCCTACCAAGCCAGTCAGGTCCAGCAGTATGTCTTAGGTAGCCCCATGGGTGTGTCCAAGATGATGGACTTACTCTCAGATAACAGAGAGGTCATTCGGAATGATGTAAGTACAGTGAAATCTGTCTATAAAGACCACCCAAGGGAGACCAGAAAAGTGGTCTTTATAGGCGTTTATGTACATATGCCTATAGTACATGTTTCAATGAGAAACCATTTTCAAGGGAAACAAAAAATGTGGTTTTTGTAGACAGGTGGTCACTAAAGCAGGCTTGACTACATTTTTTTTTGGTGGGATTTTGTGCAATGATGCGAGTACAGGTACTCTATTAAGGTATTATATGAGTAATGAGGTCAACCATAAAAACGTACCGGTAGGTACCTTTATTATAAGAGGAATTTTTAATATGTTCAGATGTTGTCAACGTTCATATTAAACAATCTTAAAGGGGGGTGAAAATGAAACAGTAATCCACCTTTGCGATGTGAAATTAATTCACAAGGGCAAACTTCTTGTGGAATATAAGATCAAAACATAGAGATTTTCCAGTTTGAATTAGAGGGAAAATGCAGTTAAGATATTCATACTGTACAGGAAATATGCATAAATGACAAAGTTTTTTTGACATTGATAAACTCTCAACAATTTTTTGGCATTTAAAAACTTCCATAATGTTTTCTTGTAACCCATGTGTCATTTTTATAGTAGATGCATTTAGAATTGGTGGGCTTTCAAAAATGAATGATAACCATGATCAAAATCATATACAAATATGACAATGAAAGATGATGTTTTATTTGTTTTATAAAATAATGTTTTATAACATGATTTTACTAATGACCGGTCATTGTCATTAGTATTTACTAATGACTGTTCATTAGGCAAAATAAATTCCTGGTCATGTGTACGCTCTCAACCAATCATTTGATTAGGATCCGCTTCATGATCTTATAACACATTCTATTACCTCTGCAGGGTCTACTGCTGCTTATCCAGCTGACCAAGGGAAACGCCAACATCCAGAAGATTGTGGCCTTTGAGAATGCGTTTGAGCGTCTGCTGGAGATCATGTCTGAGGAAGGAGGCAGCGACGGTGGCATAGTGGTGGAGGACTGCCTCCTGCTGCTCATCAATCTTCTCAAGAAGAATAGTTCCAATCAATCCTTCTTCAAGGAAGGAGGGTGAGTCAAACAAATCACTTCCGTTTGCAGCAATGACGGTAATAATAATAATAAGAACGGTGCTTATAAAGCGCTTACCCCCGAAGTCTCTAAGCGCTAACATTTTTGATACTCCGAATTTTGTTGGTAAAAAAGTCAAACAAACTAGTTTTTAGGCTGTCAGAAATGATCATCCTCACTTTGATTTCACTTCTTTGAATTCAAATCATCTTCATTGATTCTCCCCTAAAAAAACCCTACTAACATTTAATTGAATACAAATCATTTCACGATAATGACTTCTGCCGTATTTATGGGGACAACTCGAATTCAAAGCAAGAAATCCTTCCAGGTAGCTGTTCAGTACACCTGAGTCTAAATAGACCACTGTAGATGAATTTCTGAATCTAAGAACATTGTAATGTTCAAAGGTTCAAATTGGCAACTGCTGAATTTAAATTTCAATGAATGTATCATAATACCATGGTGCTTTCTGTCTCATGTCTCATCCTGTAAAAACTTGATATCATACGATTTATGAGCAAGTTAATTATAACCATTGAATAAAAAGATAAGGTATCCAACAGACCTTTTAAAGCCCCACTGTACTTCTTGTAGCTACTTGATCCCTCTATATAGAAAACTTCCCCAATTAGTGCCTGTTGGTCCCCCATGATCCTCTTTTTCTTGTTAATTGAGAGCTGCGTTGATGAGATAGCCACCTGTCAGTGACCTCGCTGGTTGGTTTAATCCCTTCTGGCCCAACTAGTACAGATGGCCTTTAAAAAGTTTAATTAAATTTGTCTATACCTTAATCTTTCTCATGACAGCTTGATCCTGCGCATCACACCCTTCTTCAATATCCAGAAAGATTCGTCCTGGTCCGCCCAGAAGGTCAACAATGTCCATCTCATGTTACAGGTATGCATTCAAATCATGGCTTTAAATGTTGCCCTTAAAGCCAGTCTGTACTAGTTTAGCCAGGGGAGGGGGGGGGGGGGTTAGACCTCCATGCAAGGCCACTGACAGGTGGTTATCTCATCAAATCAGCTCTCAGTTAACATAATTAAAGGAGGATCATGGGGACCAACAGGCACTGATTAGGCATTGTTTGCTATATAGAGGACGTAAGTAGTTATAAGTAGTGCAGTGGGGCTTTAAAGGTATTTATGGGAAAAGGTTGCAGGGTCAGGAATGCATAGCTGCCAACCATTCCTATTTTAGAGGAATGATTCCTATTTTGGGGGCCTTCAAGCTATCATTTTGAACCTTAGATTTCTCTCTTTTTCTGAAATATTCTGTGTGAAAAGTAATATAGACTGTATCTTTAATTTTGCCTTGAGGGATTCCTATTTTTTGTGGTGAAAGTTTGGCAGGTATGGGGATTGTAGATGTTGGAGTTGTTGAATACACCTAGTAGAGTTAAATGAAGAGCACATAATATTACCACTCTCCTCAGGATTTTTCTGAAACAGTCAAATGCTTCTTTTCTGAGTGAATGAATTAGCATCAATTTTTGTTCAGTTGTAAACGGCTTTATTATCTATAATAATAATACGCTAAGGCTCCGCGGGGGGCGCGACGTCTCCGCCAGCCTTTGTATTCTATTGTTTTTTAATGAGATCGCCGACCCAAGTTGGTGCGGCTATCTCCTCCTGAACCCTCCCCTCGGGGTCCCGGTGCCCGGTGCCATCGTCCGCGGGAGAGTCTACTCTGTGGAATTGGCTATACTCCGCCCGAGGTCCTCCTCCGTGTCGACGTCCAGGGCGAAAACAGACGCGATATGCATAATGCAGGATATGCGTGACGACAGAGATACCTCATGGATATTCAACATGACATCCGTAGACACACGACCGATGACTATCCACTCACATTAAGTTGCGTATTAAATGCACGGTGGACAGGGTCGGGATTACCCGAGTAAAGCATCTTTCTATAGGATATCCTTTGTAGTAGCGCTGATCAAGCAACAGAGATACACACGAAGCTTCCCGTCCACGTCCAAACTTAGAGACCTATTTCCATCATGATTGCCGCGATTTTGATATAGTTTTCGTGAATGGAGGTATGAAATCAAAGCTTATTTTGTGATTATGACGGTTAATGTATACTACATTTTGATTATCACTTTCTAAAGGAAAGTTTTCACAAGGAAACCATTGGACTGACAGTTGCAGTCGCAAGCTGCCTTCAGTCCTCACACAACACAGTGCAGTGTAACACCGGCACCGCGCACCGCAGGCTTCCGAGGCCTGCGGCGTCGGTGTTCGAGCTTCATGGAGTTACGCTGGAGTGTGTGCGAGTTCGATCAGCTGAGCTGAGCTCGAGTCGAAGAGATTTGACACTTTGAAATTGTTATCTGTTGGTTTGCATCACGATTTCAATATAGTTTCGTGAATAGATTTACGAAACCTGAGCTTAGAATTAGTAAAAGTATTACTAATGTCTACGTTTTTAAACGACTGTCTGATTTTCTTGTGAAAATTTTACTTTGAAAAATGATTATCGAAATTCATGGTCAGAAATAATCACAATCTAGATCTATTAATTATGTTACAGTTCTTGCATCAAAGCAATGCATGAAAACTTAGTTATTGAACTAGAAATTTTTTGTTTTTTTTAAATAGGCAATTAGACCTAGATCTATGAAGTATTAAGCCTGAAACCTTCGCCTACTAAACAAATCTCAACAAAGTGTAGGCCTATCCTTTTATGAATTAATGAAAAAGTAGCCCCAGAAAAAAGAGCCCCCGAAAGTTTCAAGGGGCCATAAACCCCCAAAAGCTCGGGGGTTACGTTCTTCAACGTTGGGGGGGGGGGGGGGGGGAGAGATCAGATCGCGGCGAGTTGAGTGTATATACAATATAGGCGTGGGGTCCACGGGTTTCAAGGGGCCATAAACCCCCGAAAGCTTGGGGGGTTTTAGGCGTTTAGGGTCAGATGAGCATATTTTTAATACTTTATTTGTGACACTTGCGGGTCACTAATTGGCTTGGGGTCAATACGTAGAGTTGCGTAGTGTTGCGTACCAACTACGCTGGCCTACGTTACTATATGCTGAGGGACGGAAAGAGGTACGCAAGATGAACGAAAACAATTCAACATGTTTAATTTTTTTCGCGTACTTTCGGCGTAGAAACTTGACGCAGAAAGTACGCCTTTTTACGCAACAGTACGCTACCCTACGCCAGATCGTCAAAGCAGTAAAAGCTTTCTACACAGTAAGCAACCATAAGCAAACCTGTACGCCAGCCTACGCATAACCTACGCAGGGACTATTTTCCCATTAATATGCAGCCTAATTTCTGCGTAGTCGGTACGCCACACTACGCAGTTCCAGTGGCTTAAAGAATAACTACAGGTACAGTTGGATCGTTTTTTGTTTTTTTTATATATAAGGCCAAATTAAAAAAAAAACATGTTTAGCGTCCTGTTTTTTCGAAAAATGGGAAGGAGGAGGCCCTTTTTTTTTTTCTTTTTTTTCTTCAAAATGGCCGCTCCGTACATTTTCCCTGACACTCTGGCTATTTTTCAAGATGGCGGCCGACAATTTTTTTTTTTCTTTTTTAAAAACAGAAATACATTTTAGCAGTGCTTTTCATGTTTTTTTTCTTTCAAAAAAAAAAAAATAAAATAAAAATAGGAGGCGGCCCCCAAAAAGGAAGCAGGCGGGGACGCTGTTTTTTTTTTCTTTCAAAAAAAAAAAAAAAAAAAAAAAAAAAAAAAAATTAAACAATTACAAATTTTTTTTTAAAATTTTAAAAAAATTAAAAAAATTAAAAAAATAAATAGGAGGCGGTCCCCAAAAAGGAAGCAGGCGGGGACGCTGTTTTTTTTTTTCTTTCAAAAAAAAAATAAATAAAAAAAAAATAAAAAAAATTTCAAAAAAAAAAAATAGGAGGCGGCCCCCAAAAAGGAATCGGGCGGGGACGCTCAACATGTATATTTTTTTAATGGCCTGAATGGCAAGCAAAGTTCTAGGTGGTTTTAATTTAGACAGTCTCTATATATCTATTTACACCCCCGCCCCCCTCTAGAATCCCGCGGATTTCCGCGGGTCCTGCTAGTGAATAACTAATAAAAAAAGAAAAAGAAGGTTTTATTGTAAGTGCATAATTCATTTGAGTTTTATGCAGCAAGACCAATCTATGTTAGGTCTCTGTTATTAACATTTTCAGTGGCAGCCCTCATCTCAGAATGGGAGTTAAATGTAGAATCAGCTTCAAGTTTGGTCTCATATAAATGATATATGAAAAGAGGAGAGCTTAAAAATCTCCCTTTTAGTGATACAACTAAACCACTGAATGCCATGCCGATCTCTGTGTCTCTCCAGGTTGTGCGCATCCTTGTTGCCCCGAGCAACCCGCAGCAAGCAACAGGAGCCTGTCAGAAGGTGATCCATCAGTGTGGTCTTCTGAAGTTTCTTTGTGATGTTCTCATGGCCAGTGGAGTTCCAGCTGATATTCTAACAGAGGTAATATCTCCCTTTAAGTTCTTTATTACGGGCTTGATGATTTGTAAAATTAGAAGTGTACTGTACAAACTGGTATGAGAAATGATGGTGGTGGTTTGTTTGAAAAGGACTCCATTTCTAACATGAATTCCACACTGCCACTGAAGACCCAACATTGTGGCTAACCCTGTACTTTATCATTGATGAAATATAGTTCAAGGAAATGCTGCGAGAAGAAATGTAGGATCACTAGTCCTAGATTTAATGAGTGTTTTTTATTCAGGGATTATATAGGCCTACTATGTAGAATACTTTAGAACAAATAGAGAAATGTTAATGAAACACTTCGAAAAATGTCATCTATATTGCAATGGTGAAGAAATGCACAGAGATGATTTGCCAATTTTCATTTGAATGATATTAGCTGTGAAAATTATTAATCTTCTTATTCTTTAAAGGAATATTTCTCAAGCTTCCACTGATACATGTATGTGTCTGTTACTTTTCTTCATTTACCAAAAAGAAGGCACTATCAGTATGGATTTGTTTCTCTATAAAAAGGCAATTTTTATGTTATCTGTTATTATCTATAGACAATCAACACTGTATCAGAGGTGATCCGTGGTTGCCGTGTCAACCAAGACTTCTTTGCCGCAGTCAGCGCTCCTTCAAACCCCCCTCGGCCGGCCATTGTGGTTCTTCTGATGTCCATGGTCAATGAGAAACAGCCCTTCTTGCTACGATGTGCCGTTCTTTATTGCTTTCAGTGTTTCCTCTACAAGAACGAGATCGGTCAGGAGCAGATCATTGCCACACTCTTACCAGCAACTGCCGATGGTAGGTAGATATATATTGTTTGCTGAGAGCAAAAAGGGGTTACTTCAAAGGAAATATTAATTCAATTCAGGTTCCTAGTATACGGTTGGTATGATATACATGTAGGATGTAATCTGATGACTTTGAAAAAGGATATGTTCCCGGTTGGAAATAATTCCTTGAAAGTTTTAGCGCATTATTATGAGGGTTCAGCTAAATCCAGGGTAATAATATGATACTTTGTATGAAGCGCGGTAGAGTATATTTGTTTAGTAGTTGTAGCTATATAAATAGGCATATTATTATAAGGTTTGGTCTGTCCTGATAGTGGAATGTGATGTTTTTTTAACCCGACAACTAATTCCTTCATTCTCTAAATTATCATAGGGTTAATACAGGGACCACTCTGTTCCTGCAGGCAATGGGTTACTAATGTCCAGTTTGTCCACTAGTTTTGCAGGATTGACATGATCAGAAACAGATTATTACTGCCTCCTTAATACTAGCAACTATCAGCGATTGGAAAATCTATTGCCTGCTACAGTCAAACCTGCTTTAGTGACCACCTGTCTACAAAGACCACATTTGTTTTTTCCCTTGAAAATGGTTTCTCATTGAATCATATACTAAAGGAACCTGTCTTCAAAGACCACCTGCCTACAAAGGCCACTTTTTGTGTTTCCCTTGGGTGGTCGCTATAGACAGGTTTGACTGTACCTGCTAACTTTATTGTCCTTGATTGTTACTTATCCATACAGTATCAGCAGTGACAGCAGGCCAGCTTCTCTGTGGGGGCCTCTTCAGCACAGACCCCCTGTCCAACTGGTGTGCATCCGTGGCCCTGGCCCACGCTCTCAAGGACAACCCGACCCAGAAGGAGCAGCTCCTCAGGGTACAGCTGGCCACCGGGTTGGGGAATCCCCCAGTATCACTCCTCCAGCAATGTACAAACCTCATGGCACAGGTGAGTTGACCACCCCGACTTGTTCAGGGAAAAAAATATTTAAAACATTTCGGGGGCTAATTTTCAAGATTGCTTGCATGAAAATAACTCTTCCTTAATTTGTTTTGCATTAAACTCCATGCAAATTTTTTTGGGCTCATTTATGACTTTCGGGGGCTTATTGGCCCCGAGCCCCTGTGTATTTTTGCCCCTGGACTAGTTACAGAGGAAGATTTCGAGTGGCTGTCAGGTGCTGTGAGTGAATGTCATAGAGGATTAGACCATTTGAAAGTGACCGTAGTCACACTGGACGTAAGACTATAATCGCAGACTCTCAATAGTGCTGATCAGAAGTATTTCGTCAGAGGTTATAGAAAGGATTTTGCAGTTTAAGTCTGTTCAAATCTTGTCAGTAGTAGAAGTACTGTCAAACCTGCTTTAGCGACCACCTGTATAGAAAGACCACCTCTCTATAGAAACCACATTTTTTGTTTTCCCTTGAAAATTGTTTGTCATTGAAACATGTACTAAGGAACCTGTACGTAAGGACTACCTGCCTTTAAAGACCACTTTTCTAGTCTCCCTTGAACGGTCTTTATATACAGGTTACACTGTAGTATTAGCAGCAGCAACAGTTCTTATGACAGGGTCATTGTAAGCTGTCAAATAAAGAATATGAGTAGTTATAGAAGTTAAAAGATGTCCTTCTAAATGTAAATGACTGTTTTATGCTACTCTGAGTTTTGTATATGCTCTTATATTTTCATTCTTCCACAGCCCTCAGTAAAGTTCCAGACAAGGCTTGGTCTATTGATCCTACTAAGTTCCTGGGTTGCTCATTCACAACTAGCTGTCTCGCATTTCTTAGGCCATCCTGGAAACGTGCCATTTGTATCCTTATCATAAATGTCATTCTAATGAAATTTAATTACATAGACTAATGGTCATAGATCATTAATGAATATTTTATATCTTTGAAAATATGTTCTCATGGATTCTATTTCTTTCACAGGAATTAATTTGTCTTTCAAAAGGATTTTAAATGGATCTCTGAGAGACAGACTTTGTAAACATAGGCCCATAAATGTACTTTTGTTGAGGGGGGGGGGGTTAAAAAGTGTGCTCTCTGTATTCCTTTAAACAGATCAGAGGAATGAAGTCCACAATGAGACCCATGTACTCTTTTTTCAATTGATAAGAATTGACAAAATCATGGAAAGATGTTGGGATTTCCATAGCAAAGTTGATATTAATGCCTCCCATCATTATTCCACAAATTAAAAAGAGAAAGATATTTGTGTACTTGCATGGGGGATCCTAAAATAGTATCTTTATAGTATGCATGAATAGAGTAGTAATTGATTGTTAGTAACCCTTTACTCAGTGATGGTATTAGCTAACATCACAAGTTGCAGAGGATGCTGATGAGCAAGAGGTTTTGGTCCAAGGACTCTGTGCTTTCTTGCTCGGAATCTGCACACAGTTCAACGACAACTCAAATAAGAACTTCACCAAGTAAGTTCATCTCACATTTTTTGATTCCCTTTACATAGTTTTGGTGAGGGCTCATGCATGCAGTTCAAATTAAGATATAAAACCATGTAGCAGAAATGTATGTTTTGTGTAGTACGTTTGATAATACTCGGTATATGTGTTTAGTGCTGTCTCATGTGCTATTTCCTTGAAATCTGTAGGTTTCAGAACCGAAATGAATTATGTTCGATTCTCAAAGATGTACTGAAATCATAAGGTGTATAAATCAATTTTCAATCAGTAATGACTGGTTACCAGTAATGTTTTTTAAATGAGTCGTATCAATCAATTGAAAGTATAAAATGTTTGACCAAGCTTGTTGAAATAGTTTGATAATTATATTTATTTATTCATTTATTAAATTCATTCATTTTTTCTTGTTATCTGAACACTTTTTAGGTTTAATTTCATTATTGCAATGATTTTAGATTCTTATAATCTTAAGATTAATATTCATAGAGTTCAAGAGGTTCAACTTTATTTTCCATAACAGCTATGGGAATTTGTGATATTTGCATAATATAATGGTATATTTGAAAAGTATAATGTGCCATTATGAACCAAGCAAATTCCATTTCAATTTTTCATACCCCCCCACCCCTCCCTCACATCCAGAGAGAGTCTTCAGCAGATAATTGCCAAACGTATCGGTGTTGAGACGTTCATTGAGAAGCTAGAAGCAGTGTCCAAACACGAGAGCTACACGCAAGCAGCCAAGAAACCTCAGCTGAAATTCGACTCGATAGACAAGGTCCTCTTCGACTACGAGTTCACAGCTCTATTCAAGGTGCTGGAAAGTAAGTCTGAAACATCTTTTTAAAATTGCTCTTCTCGCAGTAATCATAATATTGCTTCAAAACTTTGAAACCTGAAATCCCCCATAACTTGTGATTTTGTGAGATGTAAATGATGACTTTTCTTGGCAAGAAACTTATGCAAAACAGCACAAGCTTATGCTTTATTTTGATTCCTAAGATTTGCGAAAATTTATGTTTTTACTTTAGCGGTTATTACTTATTACATCTTGGTATAGAGAGCAAATGTATAAACATAAATGTCTTGCCTAATGATGGAAGTGCTGTGTTAACCCTTGAACCTGTCACAATCTTGACTTCTCACAGTAATATTACCAAAACATTTCATTTTAAATAAGGGTTGCCATTGAATCCTACAGAAGCTTAATCAGTTTTGATTGGAACTTTATTAATCAATTGCCTTTATATCTCCTACTCGGACAGTTTCTGTGATCAAGGCAATTCAAGTCGGTGATGATTCGGATGCAAAGAAGACGGTAGACGACCATAATTCAATCGTAACACAGTATAAAGACATCATCAGAGATCAGGTAAAAATCATTTTTATTGCCATCAATGAGAGAGAAATCATCATAATTCAGGTGTCAAGATTATGACATTGTTGTCTTTCTTACAGTGGCAAATATAGGCCTAGGAAGATAAGTTTATGTATACATTGATATTCAATTCATGATTTTTCATGCTGAAAAGGGATGTCAAGTAAATAATACAATAGTATTGAGGGGTCAGTGACACAAAGACCTACCGTAACTGCATTTTGGCCATTTTGATAAAAAGTGGTTTATGTGTCACTGAGCACTTGTGCCATTAAGGAGTTAAGTCTATGTTTCACTTGCCATTGACTTCAATGGGGTGTTGGGTGGAGTTAAGTCTTTGTGTTTTCTGTAAAGCCCACATTTTTCTGAACATTTTAATATTAAATACTTATTTTGGCAAAATATGGAGTTACATCTTTGTGTCACTGAACCTTCGATATGTCCATTTGTATAGCACAGCTACTACATGAATATACTCTACCGCACTTATTAATACAAAGTATCGCATTGTTACCCCAGCTGTAGCTGAGCTGCCATGATAAAGCGCTAAAGCATTCAAGAAAATTCTTCCTACCGAGCACCCATTTACTTCACCTGGCTGGAAAGAGACAAATCTAGCTAAATTACAAGGGGGGCCACGATCTGCTCCTTTTAGTATACCATCATAGACTTCAGAAAATTTTCTTTTAGTTGTCATTTAAGATTTGAGAACTTTGAGTATTTAGGCAGTGTACCATTCTTGTATCAATTTTTTGCCAAAATTTCACAATTTGACTTCACAAGCCTTTGGTAGGCATTTGGCCTTTGTTTGTCCCCCCTACATTTTGATACTTCTGTTCTGTTGTGGTATTTTTTGGAATTGACTTTGTATTGTAAATGTTTGTTATTGTGATTTTTATCAAATGTGAAAAAAAAAATGACTTGAATTGAATTTTGCTCTGTCTTTGAAGGATACCCACTTGGGTGAGCTGAAGATATCAAATGAAGAGTTAACAAGAGAATATAGGAAGTCACAATCTCTGCTTGTGGAACAGTCGAGTCAGATTCAACAACTAAGAGATCAATATGTCCTACTCAAAGCTCAACATGGTAAGATTTAGGTCTTCTTTTCATATCTCTCTTCTTTAATATTTTCTTCTTAAAATCTGTTTTTTGTGATGCTCTTACATCTATCCAAATCAGTCTGCTTACTTTTTTAAAATTTGAATTTTAACATATGACTTGTACAAAAGGACACTTTCTGTAAAGACGAAGCAAATATATTCACAGATATTGGATACATTTTGGGGAAGTACAAGATATATTTGACAAGCCTTGATGGTAATAATCATTATTTGTCTAAGGCAGAAAATGTGTGTGGTTGTTTCCTTATGTATGCTGTCATGATGATCAAACTGTCATATCTAAACCTAAGAATGAATGAGATTTAGTTTTTTTTTTTGTAGGGTATTTTTTCAAAGGTTGATATTTTTATTTAATCCTGATCTTTTTGCTAACTCCTTTTGTGGTAATTTCTTTTTCTGGTCATCATCTCATGATCAGGTAACCAAACAGGCCAAGGGGATGGAGCTGAAAGCAACGAGGGCCAGACGCTAGAAACGACAGGGTCATCGGAGGGCAGTGCAGAGCACAAGAAACAATTAGCAACACTTGAACAATCATTAGAAGACAAGGAAAAGGAGCTGGAAGAATTGGTATGATCATTAACTCTTTGGTTGCTTTCTTTGCCTCTCTGCATAGTTGCTTGTTTGCCACATGTGCAATTCTTCCCAATATAATAGGCACCAATTTGGCGAAGGATTGATAAGTGAAGCAGAATGGCTTTGAAAAATAACTAATTTCCGGTCTTGTTTAGTTCCATGATAACCCTTTTAAAACTGTATTGATTAATTTTGCACTGGAAACAGTTAAATAATCTTGAAGCCTTTGGTATATCCATCCCCTGATGAATGTAAAGTGGAACAGGGAGATTATTTGTGTAGGATGTAAAGAGTGAATCCATTGCCTATGGGGAGAAATAGGGGAGTGATTACGTCTAATCAAAAATCATAAATACTAATAATGTCAAATGATCATTAGTTATTGGTAGACAAAATGGGCATTAAACAAACTGGTTATTAGACTGAATGGACAATAGACCAAATGGGTAGAAGACAAACTGAGAATTAGACCATATAGAAATATGATCAATTGACTATTGGCCTAAATGTTCATTAGATCAAATGATAAGCAGACAAAATGATCATTAGACCATGTGGATAGTAGATGGGCTGGGTGAAGACCATGTGGGAATAGACTAATAGACCAGTTCACGATTAGCACATGGCTGCAATGACCCTGAATTTCCACAGATCTTCAAAACATGAAGAGGAGATCCTACTTTGGACACTTTGAAATAATCACTCCTACATCGATGGAGGTGCTACATAAATAGCCTCTGTTTCCCTTTTTCAAAGAATACTTCCAGCTGTGTATCATGCTGGAGTGCACTGAATGTGCATGAATGAATAATGATACATAACTTTCATGAGCACATATCCAGTATTTTGTCTCTGTGTATTTCACAATTTGTTCTGCAATGACCTTTATCTGCTCATGCTCAGACTGCAACCGTGAACTGGCTTATTGAGTAGTAGACGAACAGGTAGTAGACCAACCGACAATTCGCCGATAATGCAACTCTCTGTGTATATATTGCACAGTGTTCTTTCTTTCTTTATTTTAATCAATTATACCCTTTACCTATATCTTGCCATTATGTTGTTTATGCATGCCATACACTCCATTGCTACTATGTTGCAGTCCTCTTCTTTTCCTCTCTACTTTTTTCTTTCTCCAAGCTCTCTATCCTCCGCTCTGCTTATCGGGTTTCGAGCCTTCTTCCTTGTAATACAAGTTCTTTAATTATATTTATGTTCCTACGTAGAAATTGTACTGTTTGAACAGATGTGTCGTGGTCGAGTGGATAAGTCACCGGACTGTGGATCACAAGGTCCGCGGTTCAAGTCCCGCCGCGGCACTAATGTCCTTTGGCAAGACATTGATCTACATTTGCCACTCTCCACCCAGGTGTTAAAATGGGTACCCGGTAGGATGCGAAAGCTAATGTGGTTTGATTAGCAAGTGGCGCTTGTAAAATGGCGACTGGCTGGAATGCTCCCCAGGGAGTGGAGAATGTGCATACCTTGTGTGCGGGTAAGCCTGAATCCGATGACCGGGGTTATAATAATATGTTGTAAAGCGCTGTGATACACATGTATGTCTGTAAGAGCGCTATATAAATGCCAATATTATTATTATTATTATGTCAAATATGTTTGTCAAATTGAATGGAAGAAAATTAATGTTCATTTGAATTGAATTAAATTGAATTTGGTTTCTCTTGACAGAGAGGAAGATTAGCATCCACACAATCAGCTGATAATGTAGACTCCAGTGCAGCTCAGAATGACGATTCAGAGGTGACATCCCTCAAGACGAGACTAGAACAGCAGATAGAACTTGCAGAAAAATACAGGTTACAGAATGAAGAAGTTACCTCTCAGCTGCAACAAGTAAGCTATATATATAGTTCTCTCTTTCCAACCTCATTATTGTTATCATTTCTTGTTGTTTAATGATCCGGTTATTATCGTTTACTTATTAGACACGTTGTAAAGTAAATACCATATGAAAATTACTCTTGGATGGCCTCCTGGACTACCAACCCCAAGCCAATATGACCACAGGACAGTCAGCCCCTAGTGTAATTGTCCGGGTTGGGGAGGGGGGGGGGGGGGTGAAAAGATGTATGTTCTGGTCAAGTACAGATATGAAAGTATATTTGACTTAAAAGTTCTGTAGATTAGCTGTGATATGCCGTGAATGTATATTATTGATTTTGTTGTGTGATTTTGATGTGTGAATTTGTTTCTGTTTTGCCTACTCTGAGAATCCATTGATTGAATGATAGATTTTAGACAGTTGCTCTACAAATGCAGGTTCATGGCATATTTAAACATTAACTTTCAATACTGTTTTCTGAGCAGGCCGGCAGTGGTAATGACAACAGCGCCCTCTTGGCTGAGAAGGCAGCCATGTCAACAAAGATGACCGATCTGGAGGTGAGGCTATCGAAGCTAGAGACGGACAACGCAAGGTTAAGCAATGAGAACAAGGAGCTGAGCGGGGCTAAAGATACGATGGAGACACAGTTGAGGGAAGCTTCAGCCAAGGCAGCTAATCCTGAAATTGCAATAGCTCTTCAGAGAGTACAGGTAAAGATGTTAAATCTAATGTAATCTGTTGCTGAAGGCAGACTACTTACAAATATGACCTTTTGTTCACTCAGAACCTTCTAAGTTGCCAGAATTTTGGTGTCATTAGTATATTCTAAAACTAATAATCCAAGCTTTGTGGAGATATACATGGAAACAATGCTTCTTGTTTACTTCAACTTTAGAAAATATGTTTTTTTGGTTAATCTGTCTTGTTCTAAATTCAGAGTGACCGCCAAAATTTGAAATAAAAATTCCGAGACATAGAATAACCTTGATTTGATAATTTTCTTTAAAAGGAGTTAGTAATGAACTCAGTTGTGTAGACAAAAATGTCTGATTTATTATGTAATATATTTGCTATGCCCTTTTGTCTTACACAGCAAGAGAGAGATGAACTAACACAGGAGGTCAAGAGGTTAGAGGTTGAGAAGGAAGGTTTAGAGGGCGATGTCAAAGGTGTTCGTCAGGAGATGGATGATCTCTTGGTGTTACTCACAGAAACAGACGAGAAGAAAACTATTTACAAGCAGAAACTCGAAGATCTCAATCAAGAGGTAAGAAATGAATGATCTAATAGATGCCCTGGAGGGTGTTTCACAAAGATCCTAAGTCAAAGTTAACTCTAAGTTAGGCTTGAACATTATGGAGAGCCATTTGTAGCTTTACAATAAAATATATTCTAAAGCAAAATTTCAAATATTTTAGACTTTTCATACATTCCACATTAAGGACATGAAATCTTCTTGATGATAGAAAATATAAATGATTTGAATCACCATTTTATGCCTTTTGAAATAACTTTTAACGGCTTTCCATAATTGTTAAGTCAAACTTAAAGATAAGTTCAACTTAGGATCTTTGTGAAACACCCCCCTGGCAACATTGTTGAACAATCAAGATATGAAGAATTATCATAATCCGCCTGTACAGCCAACATCTGATATCGTCATTTTGTTTTTAATCCCATTATGTAACTTTTTTTAAACTAATAACACACGAATAGGGATCTACATGTATTCTAATTATTTACATTTTTGCTCTTAAATGATTCTTAAATGATACATGCAATTGCCAGTTATTTGACCTGAAAAAAATATTAATAGCTTTAGAGGCCCACTGCACTACTTGTAGCTACTTGCGCCCTCTATATAACAAACAATGCCTCATCGGTGACCATTGGTCCCCCATGATCCTCTTTTTCTTATGTTAACTGAGAGCTGAGTTGATGAGATAACCACCTGTTCAGTGACCTTGCTGGGCGCTCTAATCCCTCCTGTAAACTATGGCAGATAAGCTTTAATAGCTGTCAGTCTCTATTTTCTCAGTCCCAACTTTTCTATGCTGCCTTCTTGTTAGTTACATTTTTTCCCTTCTGTCTTTTATTACTGAACTATTTTTTCGTTGTGTCTCTTGTTCAGGTTTCCGACAATGAACTGGAGGTTGAAGAAGGAGAGGAGGAGGACGATGATGATGAGGATTACGAGGGCGAAGAGGAAGACGGGCAAGCGTGATTTAACAACAAACATTTTCAGAGTGGATAGATTGATACTGAACAATTCTACTGTAGATAAAGCTACATTGCCTGAGACACTAGTGGAGAATAGTGGAGAGAGGAGAATAGACGCATTGTTGTTGAGCCGTCTTCATCTTTTTCTACTTTGAATATGATTCAATGCAAAATTTATTTAAATATTAGATTACTGTTTATTATTTGTTTACAATTTATTTAGTATGTTTAAGCAAGGTCATGACAACATGAATTTGTATAATATGAGAGTATTTTCAAAGTTCTTTGTGATTATATTTGGTAGGTGAAGGTAGTTGGTCATTCACAAGCTCCATTCCAGAGTAGACACTGTAAATTTTCTCTGTGTAAACAATATTTCCCTCACAATTTTCTTGCTGCCAAGTTATTTTGGACCCATTTTGGTTCATTAATTGCAAATGTGTGAAACTACTTTTAAGATTTGATAAAGAGGTGCCCTTCTTTAGCCAAACGATTGTATATTTATCAATATCGAAAAAGAAATATAGAGATATTTTATATAGCCAAAATATGTATTGTGGGTATACGTAAACAGGGCCATTAAATAAATACATACACCTAGGTAGATAGGTATTACTGCTTTGACATGAAATTGAAATTCATTTTCTAAGTAATCTTTTGATTTATACATTCAAGACTTTTCAACAAGATACTAAATATACTCTTTGTGTTCTACCATTCAAACAACATGTGTCTGTGTGACCTCATTCTGGCCTGTATTCCCAGGTTCCTTTCCTCAACAAAACACAAAATCACAAAACTAACACGCTCAGTTCTTGGTTAGTAGAAGCCATGTTGAGTCTCACATAGTCTTGTATCGAGACTTCCAAGTTAGACATACTTGTATTTACATCTCGTCACAGTCTTCAGATTATTTGTTGCAGCGACACTGTTTATAATAGTAGTTCAGTGTTTCTTGACAAGTGCACTGAAATGATTATTCATGATTTTAGTGATACCCTTTAAGTGCAATGCATTGTGACTGAAACCTTGTTGTGATTTATACATGTATAATGCAATGAATTTCAACTTGATCGACCTTCCTGTATTGAATGTAGATGTATATTGGTGCTTGCATCCAATTTAATGTTTTTCTGTTCTGTATTTCTTCTGTGAGAATGTCTCTTTAATAAGCCGAGTATGATTATGACTTGGAGATTTAGCAGTTGATTTGGGTTATACAATCAAATACAAATAAAAATTGGTGTGGAATGTCTACACCCAAATTTAAAATGTTTAATAATAGGTTTTAATTGGATTGATTTGATTTAATTTTTTTGGATATGATTCATTTTTGTTTATTGGTCAAGTATTCTTATAGTTTTTGGAGATGGATTTCTGCCTCTTTAAAAATATCGTTTCCAGTTCTTCAAAGTTTGGCTTATAGGGTAAAGGATTTAATATGATTAAGGATAAGTCTGTATCAATTGTTGGATAAACTGGAAATTTGTGATGCTATCTGCGGTTATACTGTTCAATACATATATAATCATCCAAAATTTGGTTTATATGAGGTTCCAAATATGGAGAACAAGGAATTCACTACAACTGCTGTCTGTATAAAGTCAATCTGAATTATATCGCATTTTACAAGAAAAAAAATGAAATCACATTACTGCCCTTCTTTCTCAAAATCTTAAAAGGACTGATAATGACTGTGAAAATCTGCAGGCAATGATGTAGGTTTCCTATGCTAATCAAGTCTAATTGAATTCTCAACTTCAACTTTTGAAGTTTGCATAGAACCAATGTGCTCCTGTGTATAGTAGTTGAAATATTGAGACCAGAATTTTGGATACAGATCGATTATATCTCAAGTGCAGCTCCCAAAGGCAGCAAGATGTTACTAGCACAATTGTTTTGACTGGGCAACGATACACTTTACCTCCAGTGGTTTTGTTTTGTTTTTTATTCTTTTTTGTAGGGGGGGGGGGGGGGTATGTTACATTGTTGGTTAATTTCTTTTCTTTTCTTTAAATGAAATAATTCATATAATTTCGCATTGCTTTTGAACAATGCCAATTTGTATTCTGCGTTTCTATTTATTTGATACAATTGAATATATGGTTTTGTTGCTGCTTTCACATTATAAAATATTCTATTCACAAGTTATCATTTTGCCTTTTTCTTTTCTCATGATTTTCATGTTAAGATGTAGAATGCTTTATGCATGATAAAAGCTATGAACATAAAAAAAAACATACAAAATATAGGTGAATTCTTAAGAACTTGCGAACCAATTTTTGTATTGATTTTTATACAGAGGCATATGTGTGAACAGAAATAATTCTGTAACAGGCTAATCCTATGGTTGAAGTAAACTTGTACTACAGATATTTTTCTAATGTGGTATGATAATGTTTTTATTCCACTGCAGAAACGATTCATTTCTTGATTTCAAAATCTCTTGAGATAAATTGTTAGTGTCTACTTATAAAGTAAAGTGTATGTTTTATGTCAGTCTTGTAATGTTTATTGCAAAAGAAATATATAGAGAGGATAATCATATAATTTTTTGGTTGTTTTCTTTCTGTGACCTTGAAGTTCTTTTGTATACCTGGATATGTTTTTCATTAAAAATGTCTGTTTTGAATATATCTAGGGATTATCACATTTACTGGTAGGTTATTTTTTCTACAAAACTAGATACATCAAATGCTACTGTAGATGTATGCTTGATCGAAAGTTATTTTCAACAATGCGACAAATTAGACCTCAATTTACATGTTTCAATATTAAAGATAAACTTGAGTTCTGGTAATGCGATTGCATTGTGAAAGAAAAGGTGTGGAATGGATCAGAAAAGTTGATCATATAGCATGTAAGTAATGGTGTGTAATGCAAGGTTCTGGAGTCATCAAAATCATCATAAATTTGGCAGAGTCTCGGTAAAGTAACAATCACTTACACAGAAAGATGTATATGGGACAACACACATGGTGTCGGGGCTAGTACTACCCTGATTTCCTTATCTTTCTTTGCTCATTACTCAGCCAGTATACATTTTCTTCCAAAATTGTTTGGCACATGACATTTATTTGTAATCTTGAACATTCAGTGTAAGTTTCGTTAGACTCTGTGAGAATTAATTTTTTTTTTTTTACCAGAACTCAAGTTTATCTTTAAGTCCTTCTTGACAGTGCACTTTAGACCAAGATTACATCCAGCATCAAGTGATATAGGTTGTACAGTGTACATGTATTTCCATAGTATAGTGGAACCTCGCTATAACAAACTCCATGGTCTGTATTCTACTAATTCAGTTAAACCTGATCTTGGGTCCAAGACATGTTAACAAAGGTAAACTTAGCCCCCATACTAACTTCCTCTGTTAAACCAGGTAAAATAATTTCATTAGAACATGGGCCTTTGACCCTTATTATAATTCTGAGGTCCAAAATCATGTTCAAAGAAGGGAAACTTAAGACATTGGGGCATCAATTAAAATCAACTTTAAAATTATCTTCCATATACGTCTTTGGGACTAAGGATATAACTTTGTTACCGGTATAGAAACCTTCTTATATGATCTCTGTTCAAAATAACAATAGAATAAATATACATGTAAGATGAGACTGTCAAAGATACCTTGTAATAATGGGGATTTATAATATCGTTTTCGTTATAACAAGACTCCATTGTATATAGCCCTTGCAAGTTAAAATACATTGCCATAACATCACATAACATAATTTCCTACAAAAATATAAAGAATGATGCAGGAAACCATATTTTTCAAGAAAGTAGTTGCTGTCGACGTTTTGATGTCTACAAACATTTATTTCATATCATACAACAATAGTGTATTTTGTCAATAATGAAAAAAGTACAATATACCATTCCAGTTCGAAAAAAATTAGCTCAAAATACATGTAGCTTCCTGGCAAGGAGTTCAAAATAATATTTCCTCTCTTATACAAATAACAAACACAATTGATCAGCATACAACATGAGCACTGTAATAAATTTGGCAGCAACTTGTGTATAAAGACTGCATATCTTTGCTCCCCTTGAACAGTTAGTTGTTTTTCAAGATAACCTTTACATAAAGACCACTTATTTGGTTAACTTTAGTAGTCTGTATACATATATATCACTCTATAAGGAATAACGATATTCTAGGATACATGTACCAGATTGAGTTTTCATGCATAAAATAAAAATCTGGCCAACACAATCAAATCGTTACTGTCAAGGTTCTTTCTTTAGCAGATGTTTTTAGGTTTTCATTTTGAAACACTATATAGAAATTATTCAAGAGAATAATGCAGGTATGCAAACTGTAATATGTATGAAAATCAAGCCCTAACCCCAACCGTATTCTATAGTTAAATCTACCTTAAAATCACAAAGTAAATATTGGCAACAACACCATGAATTAATGTGACCTTACATTTCTAAAAATGAATAACTGGATTCTAAAAAAAAATTAAAAGAGAGAAAAAGTAATAGATATGGAATTAAACAATATATGTACCGGTATTTTCTTCACGGTCTAGAATTTATCCTGATTATGAACCTACATGGCAGGGCATCGTCAGCATTAATACAAAAATGGCCAAATCAGCTGCTAATGTCATACCAGTCTACAACTTATCATTATCTGGTTACAAATTTGGATTTTTAAACAACACCGTAAAAAAAAAAAAATATGCAGAAGACAACCACATGGTATATAAAGTATGATGCACAGATTTAAGCAAGTTGGACAAGGATATTGAGCATAATAAATTCTTTGCGAGTGCGATGATTTCATGCCTAAGGGCTAAGGCCTCGTACAAATACGATGCAATAAACCATCAAAAGAAAAATGACGCTATAAAGTGTACTGTGCTTTACGTTCTAATCTTATACATGTAGTCATAACACACAAATAAGTCTGGCGATTACGTGCAGGGTTCTTTCTTGCACACATTTTTGTTTTCACACCCTCTTTGACAAACATTTACACATACAATGTTTTTTATTTGCCAAAGGAATTTTTCTAGGTTTATGGCATCATGTGTAAATCAGGCATAATACATCCAGCAACGTGATTTGCAAGGACAAAGAACTTTCAAATCATTGAACACAGGGCACATAATTTAAAGATTCTATTACATTCATCATTCCAGAAATTGATGCATTGTAGGTTCGGCAATACTTTGACAATTATTGGAGCGAGCAAATGAACAACTGTTGGATGCTAAAAGCAAATATTGGCAGACAATGGAGAAAAGTGACCAATAAATTTGAAAATTATTGGCACAAACATCTGAACAACTGTGTGTGTTTAAACAAATATTTTCAGACAACTGAGAAAAGTGACCAGTAAAACAAGTGCATTCTATGATCTCCATCAAAAAATAAGTAAAGTCTGAATACAAAATATAACCACTCATAAAAATATAATGGTATTTTTTTCCCTCCTGAAAAAAATGGAAAGTAACACTTCTAAACAATGAAATTCAGTTGGGAAATTCTTTAAATTTCTCATGAAACATGGGGATTAACAAGTGAAGAAAACTTTCATGAAGATTTGAATGCTTGAAAAATAAATGCATGCATATACAATACAATACAATACAATACAATGAACATTTAGGGCCCCATTCCCATAAGGCTCAGAGCGCTAACATCAAATAATATTATTGGTCTTTACTACATGTAGTAATTAAAGGCTACAATTAGATATTCCATATAAAATATTAAATTCAATTGATTAAATTAAATAATTAAACATAGAGGAGAATTCATTAATTGTATATTGTAAAACATAAATGGACAAGTCCATAAAGTCATGTAAAAAAAATAAAAAGGATGGAATTAAGAGGAGATTGTCTGTGTGAAACCTTGTAAAAAAAAAAATCACAAATTTCTCAATTCTTTCTTTAGACAATTTCAGAGTCTTTTCATCAGAAATTTATGTCAAATTGTTAAAATACTGTACTATATTCTATAACACGTAGGCATGTCATTTTGACACACATTTTTCACATGAAAGATTACTATAGTCATCCATGAATACAAAATAATTTTCGCTACCTTAAATTCTTAACTTCAAGGTCAATGGGAAATCTGGTATTCTTTTTTCTTTGAAAATGTGTACATTTTAGTAGCGATATTTGATTTGTAGACTTTAACAGAGGCATGAAATGGTACTAGCAATCACAAAATCCATTCATATTTAGCTTTGGCATTGGATGTGGTTTGAAAACCTCACAAATTTCATCAAACAATCAATCAGAATATTTCACTGACTCGATTGATAAACGCTGTGGTGGGAAGAGCTTGCAAAAAAAATTACATTACAAATATTTTAGTGATACTGTATGTCTTTTGGTACTTTCTATAGGGTTTTGAACTCTCAAACATTGTATTTGTTATTAGTGTTACCATTTGAAATTTAACATAAATTTAATTGTATTCAATTCCAAATTACCAATAAGATGACCTTTGTATCACATATGAGATGGCCTTTGTATCATATATGAGAGGCTTTTGTATCACACATTGCCTATGAAAAAAAAATAATGTGGAAAGAAAACAACATATTCAAAATTTCAAATAACCTAAAGAATATAAATCGTGGAAAAAAGATGCAATGATCACAACAAAAACCAAGCAGAAATCAGATAGCAGTATAAAATTACATGAACATATGACAGTTTTTACCAGCACGAGTATTGGTTTAGATTTCTGTTATCTTTGCCCACCAAACATTTTCTTTTCCTCTTCAATTTCTCTTTGGCGCGCAAGGATGGTCGCATTCTGGGCCTGTATCTTCCTGATTTTCTCCTCCAACTCATCATCCTTAGAACCCTTACCGTCATTCTCTGTTTCCCGGGAAACAGCTTTTCTCTTGGAAGACCACACATCCCTTGATATGCGTTCCTTTTTCACCGGTAAATCTTCATCAACGTCCCTCTCTGGTTCTGCCGTGATGATGCTCCGTTTGGATGTCCAAATGTCTTTATTCTTGGACTTGCGCACATCTCTCTTGGACAGAACTTCATCCAAATCATCCCCTGCAGCATCCGCTTTCTTCCTGGATGACCACACGTTCCTGTTCTTGAACACAACTTCATCCAAATCCTCCCCTGCAGCTTCTGTTTTCTTTCTGGATGACCACACATTCCTGTTCTTGGACAGAACTTCATCTACATCCTCCCCTGCAGCATCCGCTTTCTTCCTGGACGACCAGACTTTCCTGCTCTTGGGCAGAACTTCATCTACATCCTCCCCTGCAGCATCCGCTTTCTTCCTGGACGACCAGACGTTCCTGTTCTTGGACAGAACTTCATCTGAATCCTCCCCGGCAGCATCCGCTTTCTTCCTGGATGACCACACGTTCCTGTTCTTGGACAGAACTTCATCCACATCCTCGCCTGCAGCATCCGCTTTCTTTCTGGAAGACCACACGTTCCTGCTCTTGGGCAGAACTTCATCCAAATCCTCCCCTGCGGCATCCGCTTTCTTCCTGGATGACCACACGTTCCTGTTCTTCGACTTGCTCTTTTTCTCCGCCCTATCATCAGTGTCCCTGGACTTGACTTTACGTTTGACAGGCTCTACTTCTGGCGAGGAGGATCGGCCCTCAAGAGGAGCGGAAGCAGCGTCTTCAGAGATCAGCGGAGTGCTTGGTTTATCACTCAACCTACTCAGTAGTGACTTGCTAAGCTGCTTGCGTTTGACTGGCGGTTCAGCCACGGTATACATCTCACTTACAGTGTCTACTTCCATATCACCATACTTCATCCCACTTGGTTCAACTCGTTTGAGTTTAAGGCGCTTTTTGATTGGTTCCATGTCGTTTATCTCTACTTTCCTCCTCTTCACGCTATCACCATGGGGGCCTAGATTTTCATCAGGGAAGAATCCATCTTCAGGGTCGTTGGGGGCGATGTCGGTAGTAGAATCAGCAGCTTCCATCTTCACGGGACCAAGGCGTGATTTCACAGAATTCCTGGCTTTTTCTGCAGGGGGAGCACTGCCTAGTCTGTCCAGAACTGATCTCTTCTTTTGGGCAGCAGGATCTACAAGAGTACATAGGCAGGAAAAAATAAGGATTGAATAAGTTACATTCAGCCTTTACCTAAGGTAACATTAGCAAGTTTTCGCAACCGGCAATGCGGCCTTCTACAACTCGGAGGGAAAATTTCCGCGTAGCATCCAAACCTAAGACGGTATTCAGACGTACTAGCGTCAGGAGTCCAGCTAGTACGGGGTGGCGAGCTTATTTAAACACCCCGTAGTCAGCACTTGCGTCGCCGTGCGAAATCTTGCTAATGACTGCCCTCACTGAAAGTTGCATTCTCTAAATGTGTAACCGCGACTGTCACAGAGAACAGCTCATCTTGAGTGTCTTTAGTATCTGTATACGTACATTAATCAATATCAATTTTCACAATGTCTGAGCCTATGATTTATCCAACACTATAAGAACATGTATAATGCATACAAGCAATTAGAAGAAAATTACATCTTCCCCATGATTGCATTCCTGATTATTTTTAGAAGAAAAAAACTGACAGTAACAGGCCTCGAATTACATCAAATTTGGGTCAAGGCCACTTTTTTGAGAGGGCACAAATCCACTGAAAGGGGCACAAATCTATCCTAAGGCCTGTAAGGGGCACTAAGGCCAACGTGGAAAGTGCGCGTAAAATCACCTCACACCGTTGTTTTCAAGGTGGGGGGGGGGGGGATATGTGCACCCAGGGGTGGATCCAGGATTTCTTCCTTAGGGGGGTGGGTGGGGGCCACTTTTTTTTTTTGTCCCCCGTTTTATTATATCATTAGAGAAAGAAGACAATTCGTTGTATCGTTCTCGACTCTTAATCCTTGTCTAAATTCAGTTACCCCCACCTCCTGCGCGATCGAAGCGCGGAAGCTTTGACATTTAATTTAATTATTAGAGAAACAAGACGACTCGTTGTACCGTTCTCGAAAATAATCCTCGCCTGCATGAATACAGTTTTCCTCTTCCCGCGCAAAGCGCAGAAGCTTTTATGTTTCATTAAATCATTAGAGAAAGAAGACGATTCGTTGTACCGTTCTCGACTCTTAATCCTTGTCTGAATTTCAAAAATGTTTTTTGTCTGCTCCTTTTTCTTCATACGTCCTCTTCCTTTTCTCTCCTCTCTTTTTTTGGCTTTTTTGGGGGGCGCCCCCACTGCCCCCCCCCCCCCCCCCGGCTACGTGCCTGCGGTCAGATGAACATCTTTTGATACCTTGTTCGCCCCCGGAAACTCATGGGTTGAAGGCAAATTACGGTCAGATAAGCATTCAGGGGCCCGCCTCAGGGCCCCTGGTGGAGTCGAGGGTGCGGAAACCCCTGAATTTCAGGGGTTTCAGGCATTTGATGAACATATTTTTATACCTTTTTTGTGACACTGGCAGGATACTGATTGGCGTGAGATCCAGCGGGCGGAGCCCCCAGAAGCCCATGGGTTTAAAGCATTACATTACCGTCAGATTAGCATCCAGTGGGGTCCAGGGGGCAGAGCCCCCGGAAGCTCAGGGGTTTAAGCATTTGATTACGGTCAGATGAACATGTTTTTATACTTTATTTGTGACACTGGCAGGACACTGATTGGCGTGAGGTCCAGCGGGCGGAGCCCCCAGAAGATCAAGGGTTTTAGGCACTTAATTGCAGTCAGATGAGTATCAAAAGGCCTGCCAAAGGGCCCTTGGTTGGGTCCCGGGGGCAGAGCCCACGGAAGCTCAGTGGTTTTAGGCATTTAATTACGATCAGATGAGCAATTTTTGATCCCTTATTTTGTTGAGAAACTGGTAGTTAACTATTTTTTCTCTCTTGCTCTCTTTCTTTCTATTTCTCTTTAAAATGCTTTTTTAAAAAAATGGGGGGGGGGGAGTTTCCCCCTTTGACGTTTTATTGAATTATTAGAGAAAGAAGATGATTCGTTGTACCGTTCTTGACTCTTTATCCTTTTCTGAATTCCAAGGGAAGCGCGGAAGCTTAGACGTTTTTAATAAATTATTAGGGAAAGAAGACGATTCGTCTCGATCTCGACTACCGGTATTATCCTTTTCTGAACTCAATTCACACCCCTCCCGCGCGATGGGCGGAAGCTATGACGTTTTAATTAAAACGTATGGGAAAGAAGACGATTCTTTGTACCATTATCTCGACTCTTAATCCTTTTCTGATTTAATTCCAGACCCTCCCGAGAAAAATCCAAGTTTTTCACTGATTAAAAACTGTGAAAACGCACCAAAAAAGGTCACAACGCGAAGTAAAGATGTTGAACCAACGATGGGTAAACAAAACTTCCCGATATTGATTGGTTCATATAAAAAGGATGGATTGAAAAACTAAGCCTGAGTCATTACGGTTTTTGTGCCAAACGTTTCAGTCATTTGGATGAAGACATTCTTTCATATCTCCGTATCGGCAATTAAGTCCCGCCAATTAATTTAGGAGTTCCATAGTGGAAATTAAGTCTCGCCAATAATTATTGTTTTAGATCTCCGTAGGGGCAACAAAGTCTTGCCGATTATCATTGTTTTAGATCTCCGTAGGGGCAACAAAGCCTTGCTGATAATTATTGTTCTTAGAGCTCCGTAGGGGCAACAAAACCTTCCGGTAATTATTGTTTTTAGAGCTCCGGAGGGGCAACAAAACCTTGCCGACTATTATTGTTTTTAGAGCTCCGGAGGGGTAACAAAACCTTCCGGTAATTATTGTTTTTAGAGCTCCGTAGGGGCAACAAAACCTTCCGGTAATTATTGTTTTTAGAGCTCCGGAGGGGCAACAAAACCTTGCCGACTATTATTGTTTTTAGAGCTCCGGAGGGGCAACAAAACCTTTCCGACTATTATTGTTTTTAGAGCTCCGGAGGGGCAACAAAACCTTGCCGATAAATATTGTCTTTAGAGCTCCGGAGGGGCAACAAAACCTTGCCGACTATTATTGTTTTTAGAGCTCCGTAGGGGCAACAAAACCTTCCGGTAATTATTGTTTTTAGAGCTCCAGAGGGGCAACAAAACCTTGCCGATAAATATTGTTTTTAGAGCTCCGGAGGGGCAACAAAACCTTGCCGACTATTATTGTTTTTAGAGCTCCGGAGGGGCAACAAAACCTTCCGGTAATTATTGTTTTTAGAGCTCCGCAGGGGCAACAAAACCTTGCCGACTATCATTGTTTTTAGAGCTCCGGAGGGGCAACAAAACCTTCCGGTAATTATTGTTTTTAGAGCTCCGTAGGGGCAACAAAACCTTCCGGTAATTATTGTTTTTAGAGCTCCAGAGGGGCAACAAAACCTTGCCGATAAATATTGTTTTTAGAGCTCCGGAGGGGCAACAAAACCTTCCGGTAATTATTGTTTTTAGAGCTCCGCAGGGGCAACAAAACCTTGCCGACTATCATTGTTTTTAGAGCTCCGGAGGGGCAACAAAACCTTCCGGTAATTATTGTTTTTAGAGCTCCGGAGGGGCAACAAAACCTTCCGATAATTATTGTTTTTAGAGCCTCGGAGGGGCAACAAAACCTTGCCGACTATCATTGTTTTTAGAGCTCCGGATGGGCAACAAAACCTTCCGTTAATTATTGTTTTTAGAGCTCCGGAGGGGCAACTAAACCTTGCCGATAATTATTGTTTTTAGAGCTCCGGAGGGGCAACAAAACCTTCCGATAATTATTGTTTGTAGAGCCTCGGAGGGGCAACAAAACCTTGCCGATAAATATTAATTTTAGAGCTCCGTAGGGGCAACAAAACCTTCCGCACTGCAAAAACCAGGGTGTTAAATATTCAACACCAGCATGGAATAGAAAAATATCAACACCCTTGGTGTTCATTTCATGTCCGATTGGCGAAAAATAACACCAACGGTGTGAAAATATTCAATTACAGGCTGATGGTGTCATATTTGGTGTTATAAAATCGCACATGCGCATAAGCTAGAGAATTCGACGAAAATCATTGGACGAAAGTTGTCATATGATCCGATATGCGCCTCTGCAGCTGCGCGCGCACAGCTAGACGAGAGCATGTGGCTAGAGAATTTCACTGGCACTGACTTGAAGTCTTGATTCTGGAGTAGTAATTCTTCAAATTAGGCCTAGATTCTAGATGTGAAGTGATCGAAGTGCATGCAACCATGCCATTAAGCGTCAGGGTCTGTTCAGCGGATCGAAGTATTAGAAAATACCTGCCTATAGATCCAGAAGACACAGTAGGATTCTTTGAACTCAGTAAGTGTACATGGTTCTTGTTTGTTATAAACTTTTATAGATCTAGCCTATAGTATTACGTGTTCGTCAGCTGGCGCTAGCCGCGCCTGTCGTTGGGTAGCCCAGGCCTAGAGGTCTAGGCCTACTATGCCTTGGCTGTCCGGCCGGGTTGGGTATCCGGTCAGCATGATGCCATTTAATATTTTATGGATTTCTGAAAAATTATCATTGATAAATACTCCAAAGGGCAAACATTCATGATAGATCTAGGTCTATATATTGTTATTTAATACATATTTGTTTCAAAATGTAAAGGAAAAATCAGTAGATCTAGACCTAGTCTAGGGCCTAATCCTGGGTTTTTGCAAAAATATCAGGTCTAGGCTAGATCTAGATCTAGATCTAGAAGTCTAGACTAGATCTAGACTCTAGATTTCTAGGCCTAACAGTTAGATCTAGAGTTCTAACGTTAGATCTGCATTGACATTAGGCCTAGATATCTAGATCTAGATCTAACGTTAGATCTAGACTAGATCTACCCCATTCATGTAATAAAAAAAATGCAAAAATAATAAACATGGAAATTCAATCTCTAGATCTAGATCTAGATCTAGACTATTTGTAGCGCACACAACAGTCCAAACTCCACCCCCGGTTGAGCTTGATGTCCCATTTAACAGTTTTAGGGTGTATTATAAAATGGCTCTAGATCTAGCCTAGTATTTTAAGCATCGTGATTGGTCAATACGCGTCACATGGCATTGACAAATTTTTGATGCAAGCACGATTTTGCAGAAATGAGTGCAGAAAAAGCGCAGTAAAAAGTTATATTGCACGGTG